AATGTTAAATTACAGATTGGGGAAAGTATTTATGAATTTTTTCCAATGGTTGTTGTACAAAATATTGACACAAGCTGGGGATTTTTTTTTTTTTTTATGTATACAACATTCTGCTTCCATGTATATCTGCACACCAGAAGAGGACACCAGATCTCATAACAGATGGTTGTGAGCCACCATGTGGTTGCTGGGAATTGAACTCAGGACCTCTGGAAGAGCAGTCAGTGCTCTTAACCTCTGAGCCACCTCTCCAGCCTGATGGGGCTGTTTTAACATCCCTTGAACTTTCCATTAATACCATTTAATGGGCTGGGAATTATTATAAGAAGGAACTTTGAAGGCAAATTTTTCTCTATCCTATTCTTGTAAAGGTATAGTAAAAAAGCAGGGTTTTTTTTTTTTTTTTTTTATTTTTCAACATTTCTAACCATCACAGCTAGAAAAAAAAAAGAGAAAAGACCCCATGAGAACACGACCATGTGAAAGAAATTGTCTACTGCTTCTGTCTCCTGAGTGCTGGGATTAAAGGCGTGCACCACCAACACCCAGCCCAAAAAGCATTTTTTTTAAATCAATCACTATAATAGACCATTCTCTAGGTAATAAAGAAGGACAGGGAATTCCACGCTGTAAAGGGCCCATTGGCTGAATTACTTTATTTATGACTCTCAAATCTGTTAACATTCTCCTTTTTCCAGATTTCTTTTTATTGACAAATATAGGAGAATTCCAAGGACTACAATGTTGAGTATTCAGCTGCTCCTGTACCAGCTGTTCGAATGTCTGTAATTTTTCTGATGTTAAAGGCCATTGTTTTACGCAGACAGGTTTATCAGTTAACCGTCTTAAAAGAAGGACTATTGATAACTTCAAAAGATTACCAGCTGTTGTGTCTTGTTCATGTACAGCTTCACAGATCATGAAAATACCTTCTAGTATTTTTCTCAGAAGTATTCTCTAAAGTTTGTTTCTGAGATTGGAGTATGTTAATTCAGTTTTTTGTTGTTGTAATAAATCATGTTGTCATAATAATTTTCCTATATGTCCTTCTAGCCCTATGTGTCCAACCCACCTGGAGCTTTGTTTTACCTGAAATAAAGTTCCAGTTCCAAGAAACTGAACTTTTACCTCCTGAAGAGGCCAATCTAGATGCCAAGATTTTGGTGATCTGTGCCTGTATCAAGCAAACCTTCAATTACAATGCCATTTGTCCATATTTTTAGCTTTGGTGTTTGGTCATTTATAGAAGTGTGCCAAAACACTCCTTTTATGGTCTTTCTTACCTACCAGAGCTGTTCTGTCATTCAGAGCAGTATGTTTTTTTTTTTTAAAGATTTTATTTATTTATTATGTATCCAACATTCTGCATCCATGTTTATCTGCACACCAGAAGAGGACTCCATATCTCATTACAGATGGTTGTGAGCCACCATGTGGTTGCTGGGAATTGAACTCAGGACCTCTGGAAGAGCAGTCAGTGCTCTTAACCTCTGAGCCATCTCTCCAGCCCCCTATGGTTTTTAACAGCGGGCATTAGGTCCTTTAATTCCACTGGGGAGAAGTTTTATTTTATTTTTGTTTTTTTGAGACAGGGTTTCTCTGTGGCTTTGGAGGCTGTCCTGGAAGTAGCTCTTTTAGACCAGGCTGGGCTCGAACTCACAGGGATCCGCCTGCTTCTGCCTCCCGAGTGCTGGGATTAAAGGTGTGCGCCACCACCACCCAGCTTCATTTAGCTTTTTATTAAACCAATCTGAGCGACACTTCTTCACAAAAAGATTATTTCACAAGAGATCTGTGCTTGGAGTCTGATCCTTTTACTAGCTTGGGCAGAAAAGTCATCATGTTCCTCTTCCTATGCCTTAGCTTCCCAGCCTGTACAATGGGTACAATATAGCATGACTCCATGACAAAACCAGGGTAGGTGTCCTGTGTCCCAGTGATCTTAGCAGTGTCTGCTTCTGGGGTCCTTCACTGGTGTTTATGAAATCTGAACCCCACAGAGTGTCATCCTGTCATCTGCTATGACAGATGTGGTGTTCCAAAGATTTGAGGTATTAAATTTAGTGTTGTAGGGCTGGAGAGATGGCTCAGAGGTTAAGAGCACTGACTGCTCTTCCAGAGGTCCTGAGTTCAATTCCCAGCAACCATATGGTGGCTCACAACCATCTGTAATGAGATATGGAGCCCTCTTCTGGTGTGCAGATAAACATGGAAGCAGAATGTTGTATGCATAATAAATAAATAAAATCTTAAAAAAAATCTAGTGTTGTAAAGATCAAAGGCCTAGTCTCCATTCTTTGGAGGTTGGCACATTTGTTCCCAGAATGCAACGAGGGCATTGGTCATGTGAAGACCTGAAGCTGAGTCATCCTATGCTCCCTTACTTACTCAGCCTCTGGGAGGTGAGCTGGGTGAAGGTTTTTAAAACTCAGGTGGACAAAGGCTTGTTGTTTTTTGTTTTTGTTTTTTGTTTTTTTGTTTTTTTTTGTTTTTTTGGTTTTTCAAGACAGGGTTTCTCTGTGTAGCTTTGGAGCCTATCCTGGCACTTGCTCTGGAGACCAGGCTGGCTTCGAACTCACAGAGATCCGCCTGCCTCTGTCTCCCAAGTGCTTGTTTTTAGTTTTTAAAAATTACTTTTATTTGTGTCTGTGTGTTTGCACAGAGACCAAAAGAGGTCATCAGATCTAGAGTTGGAGTTAGAGGCACAGTGTTCCTGGGTGTGGGTGATGATGGAGAAGAGCAACAAGCACTCTTAGCCATGAGCCAAGCCATTAATTCCCTCACCCCAGCATTTTTGTTTTTTGTTTGTTTTGTGGAAGTGTCTCTTTGTATAGACCTGGATGGCTTGGAGCTCTCTGTAGACCAGGTTCGTCTCTGAACTACGTGATCTGCCTGTCTCTCTACCTCCTGAGTACTGGAATTAAAGGTGTGTACAATGCTTCCGTGTGAGGACAGGTGCACAAGTGCCACAGTTCTTGAGTGCCAGGCACACAGAGCTCAGAGGACAACTTCCACAAGTCTCTTGGAACTTGGTCATTAGATTTGCTTGGCACATACCATCTGACCAGCCCTTTCTTTCTTTTTCTTTTTTTTAAAGATTCTATTTTATTATGTATACAGTTATCTGCATGCATGCTTGCACACCAGAAGAGGGCACCAGATCTCATAATGGAGGATGGTTGTGAGCCACCATGTGGTTGCTGGGAATTGAACTCAGGACCTCTGGAAGAGCAGTCAGTGCTCTCAACCTCTGAGTCATCTCTCCAGCCCCCTGACCAGCCCTTTCATATCAAATTAACTAACCAGGAGGGGGCTCTGGGAACTCCCAATTTGAAACTAGATGGTGGTAAGTATTAGATAAGCTCAAAGACACTGAGCTCATTCCAAAGAGTCACTGTTAATTCTTCTTTCTGTTGTAACTGAACTGGGCATTTCTACTGTTGTTAGACTGGGCATAATGGAGAACACCTATAATCTCAGCACTGGGTAGATGATCAGTTTACAACAGCCAGAATATCTTACAAAAAAAAAAAAAAAAAGGCAAGAACAAAAAGAATTGAGTTACTGGCTAGATGAGAAAAAGGTCACACAGAATGCACACCTAGAGACCAAGAAAGCACTTGACAGACATTTATTGAGCACCTACGTGCCAGGCCCTATGCAGGGCACCAGAAATACCAGATCAATGCAATCTGGTCCCTGCCCCAGAGTTCACAGTCTAGGATAAACCAGGCTCACACAACATCGAAGGGGCATTTCAACCATCATTTTACAACACAAAGATAAGTTTCCTCAATACTTTGTTAGCCACACTGTCTTAAAAGCAAGTAGGCATAAATGTCAACACACAATTGTAGGGACAGAAACCATCTACAATTCCAACGCGGTGCTTTCAGAGATAGTGAGTGCTATTGTTAGGGAGCATACAAACTGTGCCAATCTGCAGAAACACATACAGACCCAGAAGTCCTGGGGCCCATCTGTCCTCATACATAGCCGAGACAATCTGGACACAAGGAATCCTGAAATCCTGACTGCCATCTCTACTTCACACCTGTCTCAGCCTGCCCTGGACAAGACCCCCTATATTCTTGGGCTCCTTCTGAGAGTATCAGATGGCTTAAAAAGGCCAATCACCATCGGTTCAGTGTGAAATCTCATAGTACACCCCGACTCTTCCCAATTGAGGTGAGTCTTCCTTCTTTTTTTCTCCCTAAGTCTCTAATTCACCAGGAGCAGCCAAGCAGCCAGCAGTGTGGGGTGGCCCCACTTTACTATATACCTGCTTGGGACTCTGAACAGGACAGTAGAACCTAGGATTTGAGATGAAGCAACCTGGAAGGTTCATTTGGCAGCAAGTACCAAAGCCCATAGATTAGGTCTGCATAGAGCTAGCTCAGGAAGTCCAAAATCTGCAGAGACCTGAGGCAGATGTGGGTTGAGACTGGGGGATAAGAGCTGTGTAGTGGAGGGTACAGACCTACAAGAAAGCAGGGATGTGCCACCTTCTCCTTACAGAGGAGGTGTCTGTGCAGGCTGGCCAGGAGGACCCCAATAACTGTTTTTCTTGCTCTGTGTAACAACAGACTTGGCTGTCCTGGAACTAACTCACTTTGTAGACCAGTCTAACCGAAAACTCAGAGATCTGTCTGCCTCTGCCTCCCAAGTGCTGGGATTAAAGGTGTGTGCCACCACACCTGGCTTAGACCCAAGTAACTCTTACCTCCCTGGGTGTGAGTGCCTCTAGGTAGTTTTACTTGGACAGAGGCCTACCAGGTAGGTCAGAAGGCCAAATAAAGAAAATGTGATAGGGGAAGAAGTAAGGTGTCTCTCGGTTGACTGACACCAAATTACAATAGTCCCAGAGGCCCAAGCAAGCTCTGCTCTGGGCTCATGGCTCCCTTGCCCAGGACAGGGGTCTCTGGCTCCCACTTAGGACTACCTTTCAATTTCTTGCCCCTCAAGCTGCTCCCTTTTCTCAATGATGGCCCAGACAGAACTTTTAATAAAAAAAAAATAATTTATTGTCAACAAAGGCAATATATACAACAGGATAATAGATGCAACAGGACAACAGGTGAAGGGGTGGTACAGGGAGCCCTCGGCAGGGATGAGGCGGTAAGAGGTAATGGATGCCTCCTGCTGTAGGAGCCAGAAGTGGGGGAGGAGAGGTGTCCCCCGAGGTAGTGGGACTCAGTTCAAACCCCATCATGACCACCTCTGCATAAGGCACTGTGCCAGGGGAGAATGGTGGGGGGCTGAGAGGAAGGAGGTGTGGGGTTAGAGGGTGGGTCAGCGAAGGATTGGGGAAGGTGTTCTCCACAGGCCCAATGCCACATCGCCCAACAGCCTAAGTCACTTCTGCCTAGTTCAGGCTATGCCATGGGCAAGCATCTTCTAGTGCCCCAATGTGACAGTGATATCACTCTCCCTCCTTCCACATTCTCCTGGCACCTGGTTTTAAAACTCTCCATCAGGTGGCCAAGCTGGGCAGATCTGAGATTTAAGCCAAAGGGGGATACTGCTGCCTCCCTCCCACCTTTCCTTCCTCCCACCCCCCCTCCCCAGGAAAGTTAAAAGTTACACCCCATTTCCTGCTTCTGGTTGTCCCTTAACAGTGGAACTGGATTCTGACAGAACTGTGGGCCAGTCTGGGTTGTCACCTGTTCCCACCCCCTTGGTGCCCTGGGGATGCTTGGACCAGTCCTGTAAGAGGCTGACAGCTGGTGGCTCCTCCATCCGAACACGGATAACCTGGAGATCCAGTGTCCCACGAAGCCCCGGAGGGGGAGCTGGGAAGGGATGGGAGCAGAGAGTACAGTCAGGGCCTTCCAATGGTCCCAAAACTGCAAACCCCATCAGACTACCAGGATTTCCCATTTCCATAGCCAAGTCTTGTCCTGGGGGAAGCCCAAGAAAAAGCGTAAGGCTGACTCTTGATTGACCAGCAATGACTAGCCTCACAGCCCTTAGGCACAGGGCACGCATTGAATGAAGCTTCCTCCTTGTGTACTCGGCATGTGGGTTCACAATGATGCTGCTGCTTCCCAACTTCTACCTTCAAGACTGCACACAGAAGTGATATAGCGGAGAACATCCAAAGAAGTCTACCCATGGCTCTGACCCCATGGAGTATGACATCACAGACTCCCTGGGTTAATGTCCCAGCTTTGCTCTGCAGCGTTCATCCAGGCTCCAAATCCCTGGAGTTGATAGGTGTCACACAGTCAGGTATCTTAGCATGAGGAAGGTACTGAGAATAACAAAGCCAGGCCTCCAAATAAGACAAGGTAGAAAATACAAAAAATGTCCTTGACTTGGGCCCATGCAAGTGATATATGGCAAAGCAATTCTAGCACTTGAGAGGCAGAGGCAGGCCAACAAGTCCAACAGCATGAGACTGCACACCCCTCCCTCCCCTGCCTGCCAAAACCCAGTAAGTGGTGGCGCACGGCTTTGATCCCAGCATTTGGGAGGCAGAGGCCTGCCTCATCTACAGAGTTGAGTTGCAGGACAGCCAGGGCTACACAGAAGAAAAAAAAAAAAAAAGGCCAAACAGGAAATGGTAACCAAACTGTGCTACTTGTGCAACCAAACATATTCAGTAAGTTTTTTTCTTCCCAGGAATTTTTTTCCATACAATTTAAGACAGGTATGATTTTGCTATTTTGCTATGATTTTGTTGTTGTTGGAGTTTAAGGCTTTCCATGAGAATACAGATAGGCATGGTAGCCCACACCTTTAATAATAGCACTCAGGAGGCAGAGGCAGAGGCAGGTGGATCTCTATAAGTTTGAGGCCAGTCAGGTCTGTGTATAGACTCACAAGAGCTAGGAATACAGCAAGCTCAGTGGTAGAGCACTTGCCTGGACAACTCTAAGCCCTGGGTTCAATCCATACATGGAGAGTTTCATCAAACCATATACATGCTCATAACCCCAGCCCATGGGAAGGTGGAGCAGGAAGACCATAACTCAAAGTTCAAGGCCTGCCTGGGCAACTGAATGAAACTGTCTCACGCTAAAAAGTAAACAGAGCTGGGCATTATTAGCTCAGTGGCAGAATACTAAGGTGAAGTGAGTCACTTTATCTGGTTGGGATAAGCAGACATTTCTTCATACCTCCCCAGGAAAAGCTGAGGCAACACTAGGTTAGGGTAGTGGCAGCTGACAGAGTGAACTGAGGTTTGCAGATTGGCTGATGTGGGGATGAGAGATAGAAGAGGGTTAACTGATGGTTTGGCTACAAGCCAAAAGTAGCGGTTTACTGGAGAAGGGGAAGCATATCTGCCCCTCCCCCACCCCCCAGCCCCCACACAGGGTTTCTCTTTGTAGCTTGGCTGTCCTGGAACTCACTTTGTAGACCAGGCTGGCCTCGGAACTCAGAGATCCTTTGCCTCTGCCTCCCAAGTACTGGGATTAAAGGTGTGCCCAACCACAGCCCAGCTAAACTAGTAGAGAATGGTGTCTGAAAAAAAAAAAATCTTTTCTGAACTGAGAAACCCTGTCTCAAAAACAAAAGTTTTCTGTTGTATTTGTTTGTTTGTTTTGGTTGAGGTAAAGTCTCACTATATATATAGCCTTGGCTGCCCTGGAACTTGCTATGTAAACCAGAATGGTCACAAACTCACAGCAATCTGCCTGCCTCTGCCTCTTGAGGGCTAGGATTATTATTTTTTTTGTTTTGTTTTCCTTTTTTTTTTTTTGAGACAGGATCTAACTATATAGCACAGGATGGCCTCAAACTCATTATCATCTTGCCTGAGCCTCACTAGTGCTGAGATTACAGCCAACAGTCACCATCCTCTGCTGACAACTTTAACTGACCAAATAGACATAATGCCTGGATACTAGTAGAGAGTTTGGAACCAAAGGGAGAGAGGGCCAAGTTGCAACCCTACAGGTATCATTTCCTAGACACATATAAACAGTGCTGAACCTGGATGTCTTATGACCACTGGGACTATCACAGGCCAATAAGCTTACATTCTAAAATGGGGACGACAGATAACAAGTAATGATGTGTTACCAACTGTAGGAACCAAGAGTGAACAAGCAAGCAAGGAACATGAGAGATGCCAGGTGTGACGATATCAAATCTGTAACACTATACTCAGGAAGAAGATGATGAGGGTCTACAGGGCTACACGGCTCGTTTCAGGATGACTGGGGATGGAAATGGAGGGCGGGGAGAGAGAACATAGAATCTTGACTACGGCTTTAACTTTATGGCAAAGAAACTTCAGATAAAGTCTGAGCCCAGCAGACTCCAGAGACAGAGGCAGTTGAAAGTAAAGATTCCACTTTGGGAATAAACAGGACACAGACAGAGGAATGAAGGGGTCAGGAAATAGCAGCTTTGTGTGGGCTGATAGAAGAAGATCTGGAAGAGATGAGTGCCAGAGAGGAGAAAACCCACTGCTCTTGTAATGGGATAAAAGCTAATCCCTGCTAGGGGTTTCTCTTGAGAGAAGGTAGATTTGGGCCTAGATAAAGAAAAAGGAGGGCGGGAGGGACTTGGATAACAATATCCTCAGAGATTGAAACATTCTATCCTGCAGGGAAGCTCCTTAAGCAGCAAGTAAACAACTCAAAACAGTTTCAGGAAGTCCCAGAAAGTGATCAGATTCACTAAGCCCCTCCCTGAAAGAGTAAAAGCTGGGAGTCGTTTAGACTGGCAGACAGGCAGAGCTTCAAAGACGACTTTTAGAGGAAAGCTTGCCCGGAAGACCAGACCACTTGCCCGGAAGAAGCAGAAACCAACTGAGTTATGGAAGAGGTTTAGCCAAACTTGAAAAGGGCATTCACCACCCTACTGAACTGTCTGGAAGCTGTACAGTGTGCTCTAGGTTCTCACCTTTGTGAGCAACATGTGCCACTCATGCTGGGGTGGGCTTTGATGATGCAGCCATCTTTGAGTCATTAAGTTACCCCTTCATCCATATTCCTGTATCACCCCAATAAAACTCACCAAATGAACTTCAATGGTTTCTGTATTTTGGCCTGTAGTTGATTCCCTAACTGGGGTAAATAGATACATGTGACTTGGCAACTCCCCAAGAAAGTTTTGCCACACAACAGGGCTGAGTATGGAGCTTGCAGCTGGGTGTCTGAATGGGACTGATGGAAGCATGACAAGCTACAGCCTGCTGGGTGAGAGATCTTAGCCAAGAAACCTTACATGCCCAAGGCATCCCATCCTGTAACCCTTTATTTCTGCAGTGTTGGGGATAAAATCTTTGTTGGACATAGCAGTTTATGCTTATAATCATAGCCTCAGGAGGCTGAGGCAGGAGAATTGAGAGTCAAGGCCAGCTTGGGCTACAGAATAACTGTATTTAAAAACAACAAGAAAAAAACACAACAAAAAACCCACAAAACCATCTAAATTAGTGCTGGAGAATGATTTGGTACTTAAAAGCACTGGCTGCTATTCTGAAGGACTCAGGTTCAATCTCCAGCATCTACCTAGTAGCTCACAACCATCTGTGACTCTGCAGGGAATTTAAAACCTTCTGACCTCAACAAGACCAAGGCATGCAGGTGATGTAGAGACTTGCACACAGACAAAACAACTATATACACTGGGATTTTTATACACAAGCTAAACAAGTGTTCTATTAGCATACAACCCAATCTTCCTTATTTCCCAGTTTTTCATCATTATCACCTTTTTTTTTTTTTTTTTTTTTTTTTTTGAGACAGGGTTTCAAAAAAAGCTAGCATTTGCTCTGTAGACCAGACTGATCTAAAATTCACAGAGATCCACCTGCCTTGCCTCTCAAGTGCCAGGATTAAAGGTGTGTGCCACCACTGCCCCATTACTGCTTATTATTATTGGAAGGAGAACTTTCGATGAGATGAGACTGCATGCCATGGTGTGTGAGTGTAGGTCAGAGGACAACTTTTGGAGTTGGTGTTCTCCTATATTGCAATCTGGGCATGAAGTCGGGTCCTCTGGTTTGTACAGCAAGTGTTTTTGCCTCTGAGCTGTCTGTACAGATCCAGGCTTTTCTTTTAAGGTGTGGTCTAGCTACTTTGCCCAGGCTGGCATCAGGTACCTGAGCTCAAAGGCGGTGGCTGGGACTATAGGTATGTACCATTACAATACTTGGCTCAGTTTCCCCCTCAATAAAACAAAATCATAAGGCTTCCTTCCCATTCTCTACTTCCATAAGCAAGACATTAGGAAAAGCTCAGAACTTAGTTAAGGGTCCACGACTTGAAGCCTCTTTATGTCACTGATTTTTCCAGGTGACAAGGAGGTAAGAGGATTGAAGGGTAGAAATAAAAGGTCAGGAAAGCAAAGCCTGATGTGATAAAAGAGGCCAGAGCCCTAAAGCCACAGAAAGCAAGCTGGAGCCAACTGAACCAGCAGATCTGAGTTCAATCTCAGGACCCACACAGCAGAAGGAGAGAACTGACTCCTACAGGTTGTCCTCTGACCTCCCTTGTGTACCATGGCATGCATGTGCCCTCCCGTAAGGAAAATAAACATTTTTAAAAAGCTTAACAAATAAACAAGAAAGCTAGGACTGATTATCAGTGATAAACAGCTTCCTGGGCTAGCACTTGCAAAGTGAAGGCAGGAGGATCAAGAGTTCAATTTCAACCTTGAGTAGGTAAGTAGTTTAAGGCCAGCCTAGGTTATACAAGTGCCCGTGTTTCAAACAAACAAACAAACAAACAAACAAACAAACAACAACAACAAAACAGGTATACATTTTTGGGCTTTGGCTTTTAAAGGTAGGTTTTTCACTTTTTCACTCTGTAACCTAGGATGACCTCCAACCTGTTAAGTCTCAAACTCAAATGGCTGAGGTGCCTATTTATCAAAGTGACTTGGCCACCAGGTTCTCCCAGTGTCTCCCAGTCCCTAGCTATTGTTGCAGGGTATGGGTGGCATACCCTGCCCTCCACCTCTCAACTCTCCAGCCCAGGTGCTGGGCTGCTCTTCTCCCAGCTGCCCTTCCCTATTTAATCCAACCACTTAAGACTACATCCTCTCACTGATTCCTTCTCCTCTTTGGCTGTTGCACCTGGTTTTTCTCTCTCACCTCCTGAAATGGCTGAGTCCACTCTGGACTCTTCCAGATGCCTTTGCCTCTGCCTCTGCTCTCCCTTTTATCTACAGTAAACTTTTTCCTCCGCCATACCTAGGAACAGTCATGTCCTTCCTTTTTATCCCTATTTTTCCATTCATTCCTGTCTCAGATTTCCAAGTGTTGGATTATGCTTGGCTTATAAGGTATTTTTATAAGGACCAAATGAATTACACACAAAAGTTTCTCAGTCAGTGGGACAAGTTACAAGCACAAGCTGTCAACAGAAGCTCACTAAGCTTGTTGGGCTATGGAGTATCTATCTGCAATTGTCTGTGGTCCCCCATACCTGTTGAAATGGCTGAGTACTTCACTTGGGCCCCTGCATCACCAGTGTGAGGTAAGTTCTTCCAGGGCTCTAGCTGGAACAAGCCTCATGGATGGAATTGGGTACCAAGCTTTAGGAGGCCTAGTACAACCTAATGACTACCTCTAGAGATGCTCAGCCCAGGGGCTAGCTTCCTCAGCATTCAAAATCCTCTGTCCTTGGCCTTCTCTTGGGGGCCTAAACACTGGGCACCTCCACCCCAGGCTCCGGCTGTGATCCAAGGACTCAGCTTCCTTGACAGCCCCTCCCAGGAGGGCTCACCTGAAGAGGGACTTTCTGGTTGAGGCAGGCCATCTGCTGCTTTGCTGTCTTTAGAAGAGTCCTTACTGTCTGTGGTCCTGAGCTGCGTGTGGGAGAAGAGCTGGAGGACAAAGCCAGGAGGGAAGCTGCCATCAGTGAAGTGTCGGACTTCGGTTGGTGCTGCAAACGTCTCTGTGGGTGACTCGGGAGATGGGGGGTCTGGAAGAAGGTCATGAAGAACTGTGAGTAGGAGGCCAGAACCCAAAGGCTAAAAGCCTTCAGCTGAGCTGCATGCAGGTGCCCTCTTCTTCATGGACTTCATGCTATAGTGCTACAGCCAGGCCCAGAACCCCTAGATCCCCTCACCTGGGTCAGGGTCCAGGTTTTTGGTCATATGCCTGCTTCTCTTCTTTCTAGCAGGCTCCTCCTCAGGGGACTCCTTCCATCTCTGACCACGGGGCTTTTTATTTCCTGGCTCTGTGACAGGGGCAACTGCAAAATGAAAAAACCTTAGCACTTTAAGGCCACTGTGCATGAACTCTTTAGCATCAGACTCCTGGAACACCTGCCCACCCCAGCACATAGCACCGAGTCTCCCACTGAGCCTCAGCTCCTCTGTTGACTGACCAGGCAGATCAAGGGGGCGGAGTCCTCTGGGCCGGAGCCTCTTAGGGAGGGATGGGTTGTCCTCAGAGTCCAAGAGAACCACGATCTCAGCTGGCATCCTGGCAGGATCCGGGTTGGAGTTGGGGTCTGGCTGGCCATCCTGGCCTGACTCTGAGGGGGCAAAAGCCCACTGAGCTCCAGGGCCCCCACAGGCCCCACTTTTCCCTCAGCCCTCACCCTCACTACCTAGGCTGGGCAGGGATGGCTGGTCAGCTTGGATGTCTTGCAGAAGGGCCACCCCTTCACTCCAGGCTTCCAAGATGTTGTTCTTCTCAGAGGGGCTCAGGTCCAGGGTATGGGGATGCTGCTCCAGAATGTGTGTGCGAGCAGTATCTGCTGATGGGAACCGGATCTCAGCCCCACACACCATGCACAGCGCCCGTCCACTGCCTCCTGGGCTGTTCCCCACCAGGAACTCCTGTTCCCAGGACACTTGCTGCTTTGGCTCCTCACAGCCTTCGATTCCTGCTTCCAGCAGGTTAGTCCTAGGTGGCGGCGTCTTTTCCTGTTGGGTTACTGCAGAAAGGGGAAAGTGCTGTCAAGAGGCTAGGGCTGTGATGCCCAGAACACATCTGTATGGGGTAGGTGAGGGGGTTCCTGTGCAATGTTGCACCTCTCCCCCAGATCCCAACACACCAGCATGACATACACAGCCAGGGTGCCTTACAATATCTTCACCTTTACACCACCTCTCATCTAATCATGAGTCTCACCCCATGTACTTCTGGGCCCAATGGGCACTCTATTTCTGCCTTGACCTCTCTGATCATCTGGCAGCTATCATTCCAAGGAGGCTTCTAGGTTTCCTCACCCAACAATCAACTACCATATCTGATCTGTAGGCCACAGTGCACACTTCAGTCTCAAATAGTCAAGCTGACCTCAAATACACTATGCAGCTGAAGACAGTTTAACTCCTGATCTTCTTGCTTCTACCTTCTGAGTGCAATATGTGCCATCATGCCTGGTATTTGAGGTGTTAGCGATCAAACCCAGAGCTTCATGTATGCTAGGCAAGTACTCTACCCATTGAGATATAGCTCTAGCCTTCTCCCTTCAAGTATTAATTAGTATGTATTAATATGTATAAGAGGGGTACACATGCCAAGAAGTGCATGTGGAGGCCAGAGGACAACCCTATGGGATGAAGTTCTATTCTTCCACCTTTATAGATTCTGGCAACAGATGTCAGCAGGGAGGGCCATGCTTAGTTATTCAGGCTGGCCTTGAATATGCAGTCTTCCTGTCTTGGCCTCCTGAACAGGTAGGTTTATAGGGTTTCACTACCAGATTTGGCTTTTTAATTTTCTAGTTTGCTTTTTGTTTTCCATTATGATAAAACACCAAGACCAAAGCAACTTGGGGAGGAAAGGGTTACAGGTTACAGTCTATCATGAACAAAAGCCAAAATAGGAAGGGTTCAGGGTAGGAGTTTGAAAGATGAATGTTGCTTGATAACTTGCTCCCTCACCAGGGGTTGGGGGTGTGGGGGGTATGTGGTTGGTTGATGGTATATCTAATCCTAGCACTTGGGAGGCAGAGCAGGTAAGATGGCCAGAGCTACCCTATCTTGGGGGGAAAAAAAAAAAAAAAAAAAAAAAGGCAAGCCAGCCAGCCAACCCTCTCTCTAGCATGTTCAGCTTTTTTTTCCCCCCCTTATATAGCTCAGGCTTACTATTACTAGCCTAGGGATGGTGCCACCTACAGGGGCTGGGCGCTCCCTCCCATATCAATCAAGAAAATTTCCAACAGACACTGTCCACAAGCCAATGTGAATGAAGCAATTCTTCAATTAAGGGTCTCTTCAAAGGTGAGTCTTAAAAACTGTGTCAAGCTAATGATAAAAACTAAACAGTTTAATTCACTCTTTTATGCCTTCAAAATCAGTACCATATGGAAGATAAGTTTCACACACTGCCATGTTCAGTTTCCAACCTTTGACCACTCTGGACCACCAGATTTTGTGTACTAGTCTTTCAGTAACTGATTTTTTTAGCATCGGGTAACCAACATCCATTATTCCAGCAAAACCTAGGTTTCACTTACAGATTCTTAAAATTGAAATAAATCATACAAACTGCCCTGATAAGAGTCTACCTCCTGTCAGACAGTGATGGCACACATTTAATTCCAGCACTCAGGAGGCAGAGGCAGGTGGATCTCTGAGTTCAAGGCCAGTCTGATTTACAGAGTGAGTTACAGGACAGCTAGAACTACACAGAGAAACCTTATCTCAGAAAAACCAAAACTTCACAAGCCAACCCTTGATCAGCTGTATTTCCCACACCAACACAGTTTCCCTCAGTGGCCCTGGCTGTCCTAGAATTCTATGGAATAACCCTGTACACTGTGAGCATGTATTACTCTCATTGGTTAATAAAGAACTGACTGGTTGGCAGCCAGGCAGGAAGTATAGGCAGGACAACCAAACTAAGGATGCTGGGATGAAGAAGGGTAGAGTCAGGAGTCATGAGCAGACAGAGAAGCAAGATGGACAGGCCATTTTGAGAAAAAAAAAAAAAAAAAAAAAAAAAAAAAAAAAAAAAAAAAGGCACCAGGCCACGTAGACCAGGTAAGAAATATGGGTTAACTGAAAGTGTAAGAGTTAGCTAGCAACAAGCCTGAGCTATTGGCCAAGCATTTATAATTACTATTAAGCCTCAGTGTGCTTATTTGGAAGTTGCCAGTGGGACAGAAACTTCTGCCTACACTAGAACTCAAGAGATCAGCCTGCCTCTTCCTCCAAAATGTCCTACACCACCATGCCTGGCTTCTCTCAGATTCTTATCTTTTAAGCTCCTACTACAGCTAATTAAATTCAGTACTTCTTGGCCAAGTTCTAAATTCTACAGTCCTCCCCTGAAACCACAGCACTATCCCACTTTCCTGGTACCAATTTCTGTCCACGTTTGGTTTCTGTTACTGTGGTAAACACTAAGACCAAAAGCAAGTAGGGATGTATGCTAGCTAGTTTTATGTCAACTTGACACTAGAGAATGCCTCAATTGAGAAAATGCTTCCATAAGCTGTAGGCGAGCCTGTAGAACATTTTCTTAGTGACTAATGTGGAAGTGTCCAGCACATGTAGGTAGGGCCATCTCTGGGTTGGTGGTCTTACATTCTATAAAAAGGCAGGATGAAGCCGGGCATTGGTGGCACATGCCTTTAATCCCAAAACTTGGGAGGCAGAGGCAGGCGGATCTCTGAGTTCGAGACCAGTCTGGTCTACAAGAGCTAGCTCCAGAACAGCCTCCAAAAGCCATAGAGAAACCCTGTCTCGAAAAACCAAACAAAACAAAAAAAAAGGCAGGGTGAAGCTGGAAGTAGTGATACACGCCTTTAATTCCAGCACTGGGGAGACAGAGGCAGCAGGTGGATCTCTATGAGTTCCAGGCTAGACTGGTCTAGAGTGAGTTCCAGGACAGCCAGGACTGTTACACAGAAAAACTCTGTCTCAAAAAATAAAACAAGGGGCTGGAGAGTTGGCTCACTGGTTAAAAGCACTGTCTGCTTCTCCAGAAGACCTGGATTCAAATCCCAGCACCCACTTGGCAGCTCACAACTGTCTATAATTACAGTTCCAGGGGACCTGACACCCATGGCAAAACACCAATGCATATAAAACAAAACAAACAAGCAAGCAAACAAACAAAAACAAAAACAGCAGGCTGAATAAGCCACAAGAGCAAGCTAGTAAGCAGCACTCTCCTTCCAGGCTCCTCCCTGCATGAGCTCCTGCCCTCACTGCTTTTGATAATGAACTGTTTTTTGTTTTTTCGAGGAAGGGTTTCTCTGTATCGCTTTGGAGGCTGTCCTGGAGTTCACTCTGTAGACAAGTCAGGCCTTGAACTCACAGGGTTCTACCTGCCTATGCCCCTGAGTGCACCACCACCGCCTGGCTTAATAATGAACTGTTAAACAGAACATGGCTGAAATAAACCCTTTCTACCCCAAGTTGCTTTTAGTCATCGTCATCACAGCAGTAGTAACCCTAACTAAGAAAGGGAGGAAAGGGTTTACTTAAAGTACAGTCTAGTCCATCAGCAAGGGACACCAAGGCAGTAGCCTTGAAGTAGAAACCAGAGAAAAGGGGCTTACTCCCAGGCTTCTTACACAGCGAAGGCTTACCTATGTCAGTCAATCAGCAATCAAGTAACTGTTCCCCAGATAGACGCATAGGCTAATTGGCACATGCCAGGCGTTGGTGGCGCACACCTTTAATCACAGCACTCAGGAGGCAGAGGCAGGTGGATCTCTGTGAGTTCCAGGCCAGCCTGGTCCCCAGAGCGAGTGCTAGGATAGAATCCAAAGCTACACAGAGAAACCCTGTCTCCAAAAACCAACCAACCAAACAAACAAACAAAAAAAAAGGATTGGCACACTGGGGAATGGCTGCCCTGTCTGTTCCTCTACAGGTTGAAGCTTCTCCCAAAAGTCAACCTGTCTCACTCACACAACCAGCCTTCCTTTTCCAGGGTGCTCCAGAAGTATTTGCAATGCTGGTCTTTCTTGCTCCCTTTGGCTTGTGTTACTGGCTCTCTTTGAGAACCAAAACCTCCCACAGACCAGAAACCCTCAGTTCAACATCAGCCTGATGATACCTACTCAAGTGCCTGTGATCCCTGGGACAGTAACTCTCTATCAATTGGGACTTCTTCATATCTTGGGCTTGAGGAAGAGGTAGCACCTAGAACAGCCTAGAACCCAGAACCTTTCTCCCGAGTGACAGGACGCCCTAGTTTCAACTGGCCTTCTCCCCCTCTATTCTCCTAAACCAGGTCTTCAACCCAGACAGCAGTTCTTCTGCTCAGTCACCTTTTCCATCTTGACCTTTACCACTCAAAAGCATTCAGGGAACCACTTGTCCTCCTTGGTTCTCTCACTTACTTGCCTGTTCCTCCTCCAGCCACTCTGAAAACTATGTTCTTAACTTCCTGCAGGGCCTGTAACCTCCCAGTTGACTACGTCACTCATCACTCCCTTCTGCTTTGTTTCCTCCACAGTACAGCACTGGTCTTTGATGGATTTGTTTTGTGTCTAAACCTCAAGCACAACAAACAGTGCTAGGTATCAACGACAAGGGACTGGCCTCAGCCCGTTTGATCCCTTCTGGCCACCTCCTCCTCCAGGTAATCCTCATCTGTTGCCTGTTGACAACGCCCATATTTTATTTATTTTGGTGTTGTACTTGTTACTTAGCAAGTGTGCTACCAACGAGTTCTATCTCCAGCTATTTTTTTACTTTTTGAGACAAGATCTACTGTCCAGGTTGGCTGAGAATTTGTGATCCTTCTCCATCAGCCTCCAGATTAGCTCAGATTACAAGCCCGATCATCAGGCCTGGCAACTAATATTTATACCCCTTGCAAAGTACTCACGAGAATTCTAGGTATAGATATCCAAATGCTTATCGAACCACCTGCTATAGCCTGAAAGAGACACTGTGAATTTAGCCATATTCAAAGACCTATCCCAATCTTCCAACAAGTCTAAATAAATTTCAGCCTTGTCTGACT